GAGGGGAGATACTCCAGGATCCTGCTGCAGGTGCGGGGCAGAGGGTAGGAAGGCAGGCAACTGGAGGAAGGGTCTTGGGCAGTCGGGCGATTGGGCTGTACCTTTTTTCTTTAATTTTCGCTCTACTCAGGTTTTAATTCCGAGCTAGGGCCGAGCACTAAAGCGAACGACAATATACCTACCTCAGTTATACATTCACGCTGCTGCCATGCCTTCAGGAGAAAGAGGCAGGAGGCCATGCCATTCAACTCGACACAAGCCGAACCCCTTGATGAATCGTGTTTTGCTGCCCCTCGTGGAACCCTTTTCAACGTCAGTCCCGCACTAAACCCTTCTTGGACGACCCCTCGAAGCGCCCCACCACGTGCCGTAGCTCCTGGCCATACATGACTACTGAAGAAATCAACGGTATCGGACGGCTCGCGGCGTTGCCCGGCATCAGGGTGCCTGTGGGATACAGAGAGGATGCTCATCTGGAATTATTGACGAGGGTGACACTCGAGTCGTGGCCAGGACCTGGTATGCACCAGACCAACACCGATCACACCTCACAGATAGGTCACAAATGTCTCATCACGGCAAATACTGCACCACACCAAGAAAGACATGACCGAACCTCTCGATTACCCACTGCACTGCATATCGAGACACGCAGTAGCCCTGAACGCCGTTTAGAATGCTGATGGATCCGCTGCCCTTTGAGATCCCAGTTCATCCGTCATTCCCTTTTGCTGCCCCTCCAGCCTACTCTGGTACACCACCCCGAACGCTCCGCTCCAGGCACCTGACGTCCCTCAAGCACGCTTGGGGATCAGGTTCTCCCGCACGGCGAACATCTTGGTTGTAATATTGGCCGTGAACCCATCGACCTGCTTGCTGTACTGCTCGACCTGCTTCGCGTTGAGCATGCCCTCGAGGCGGCTGGGCTCCTGGGGCAGCTTGAACAGCCGCTGCCACTCGTCCTTCCGGCAGGGGGGCCTGCTTGGCCACCACCCGCTGGCGCGTTCTCGCCTTGCGCTTTCGGCTGCCACTGCGAAGATCTTGCCCTGCTCGCGTCCGAGTTGGCGCTGGTAGAACTGGTAGTTGTGTGACCTCGTTGTAGTGCGCGTCGATGCTCTCCAGGAGCAGGTCGCACGTCTTCTCGAGGAAGGGGTCAATAGAGAGGTCGAGGTTGTCGACCGAAGGGTACAGGGGCTGCCTCGAAGGGTCGTCGCGTAGCTCACCAACAGACGTCGGGTGCTCGAGCGCGTCGGCCTGGGGCGCCTGGGGAATCTGGTGGAGGAAGGTTGTGAGGAGGTGCGTGTTGTGGACGGTGACGGGGAACTCCTGGAGGATATCCTTGAAGGAGAGCTTGGACTTTTGCAGGCTACAATCGTTCGTCAGCGCGTATACATCTCACTCGTGTAGGTCAGTGGGGGCGGCATACCTCTCCGTCGTGAACTTGCCCTCCTTGTACGCCGCCATGAAGCTGGCGGAAAGCTTGAAGGCGCGCAGGCTCAGGGAACCCTGGGAGCTGCGGCTGACGTCGTGCACCAGGGCGACCGTCTTGTCGTTGTCCTTCTGGTAGTGGTACTGGTTCTCGATGAAGCTGAGGTTGACAAAGTTGCTCATGGTGGCGCTCGTGTACCAGCCGACGTTATTGGCATCGACGTTGACCTCCTTCAGGTGCTTGATCATGTCGCTCTGGTAGACAATGTTGGACTTTTGCCTCGGCGCAGCTGAGGCCTGGGCGGAGGCGTCGTTGTTCTGGTGGGAGTCGGAGTTGGAGACGTCGACGGTGGGGAAGGGGAACGAGTTGGTGATCTCGAGCACGCCATTGCGGTCGAGGCCAACAGTCGCACCGGTCGCGACGGTCGGGAAGGTAGAGGAGCCGTGCTTGACAATCTTCATGACGACCTGGAAAGCCGCGGGTTAGCCGGTTGCTGCGTGGTTCGAGAGCAGCCCAAGGTGGGGCAGACTCACCAAAGCCTCAATCACGACCGAGTTGAACGGCGCATCCTGGGGCGCTTGAGCTTCCGCCATTTTTGCAGAGGTTTCGCGAGTTTGGACGCTGAAACGGACGACACGAAGAGTTGGGTGCGTGACGATCGGTGAGGAGAGCGGAGGGGGAGTCGTAGTGTCGCAACGCGGGGCCTGGATTCGTCGTCGGTCGTAGATGCGAAAAGATATTTCGCTGGTGGTGAATTGTGGGAGCGGTTGTGGGTTGTTGGGCGGTAGGCGGTGGCAGAAACCTGTTTGGGAGGATCCCCTCGTTGCCAGCTGCCGGCGCCAGGCTTTGCCAGTGCCCACTGGAGCTCATGGTGATGCTGTCACGAAAATGTTCAATCCCGCGCACACCCACGCTGAGCCCACGCTGAACCCCCACGCTTGCAGTCTGTCTTGGCTTCTTAAAACCAACGACAGCCCATCTTCGGTGCCTTCTGGTGTGCTTTGGATGTTTAAGGTCGATGAAACTGGTGGGTTTGGTTCATGCTGAAGCTCCTCGAAAGGCGCCCAGTCCTTTGGCGCTTCTTCAGTCAGACAATCCCCAACTACTTCTTCTGAAGAGCATCACTACAACAGCAGCTCAGCGACCCTTTGGAAAGATATACGAACAAATTATCATTGGACATCTACTCTTGAATACCGACCAAACGCCATGCCTTTCCTACCGTCATGTATCATGTTTCACGTCCAAGTCTTTTTATCCCCGCCAGCAGGAACGGCGAGCACCTAATCCTCCCAATCGATGAACTCGAAGCTCTCAGCGTCATCCTTGACTATGAGTCTGTGTCGATCAATCTTCCAGAAAGAGTACATTGATGCCGTCGCCCGTGCCGCCTTGCGGTGAGCTGGGCCGTGTCCGGCTCTGACGGCATCAGGTCGCGATCGCCAGAAGCATGTCGCCAGGTTGCGACCTTCGGCATCGGGCGCTCCAAACCAGTACCTGTCGGCGTGTGAGTTGGACATGTCTTCTTCCTATCAAGGGAGCGGCCTTACTTGAGGAAGCCGCCGAATTCGTTGGCCTCGCGGTGCGCCTCCTTGTCGAGGGCACCGAGGTCCGCATAGACCGTCGTCGGCGGGATCTGCGAGAGAAAGACGACTACGTAAAAGGAAGTTTCCTTGAACGGCTTTCCCGATTCCTTCACCAGCCGGCGAAGCTCATCGTGCACATCCCGCCAGTTGAAGGACTTAGTGTACGGCGCTGTGGCATAGTCTGTCCTGGTGCATTCCATCTTGGTCATGGCCCGCGCCAGGAGGGCATTCTCGTGGTCGAGCGTGTGCAAGTCGAGCTGATGGTCTCGCTCGGTGTATGGCGAGTGCACCAACCACCGGGCCTGCTCGCGTGCTTCCACCTCGGCGACGGAGATGGTACTGTCCTGCTTGAGAGCCAAGCTGGCCTCATTGCGAAGTCCAGGAGCCGCGAGGTGGATCAAGGAGCTCAATGCTGTGGCCATGATGGAGGTGGTCTGGAGGAAGGCCGGTCGTGAAGTGGACGGTGATGCTGCGACTCTTTTTCTTCACTTTCCAGCGTTAGGACAATGGACAATGGACGATGAGCAAACAACGCAGACGGAACAGAGACAGCAAATTAGCACTGACAGCCCTTATAGACTTTGTCATTTTGAATTCTGCGTCACAGCTGGTGGCAAGAAGCGTCTTCCCGAACTCGAATCACCTCAGCGTTGATGCAGTGAGGTCGACACTTTCCTATCGCCATCGGACGGAGCGAAAGCATTGCGCAGGAGTCCGCACGCAACGTGAATTGCCAGAAAAGCGGTGGACGTCAAGCAGACGCGTTCACCGAGCTCGCCATATCACCGGGGGGGGGGGGATCAAGGCGGTACGAAGGGGCGAGATTGCCGCGTCGCTAGCACTGAGGATCTGTCTTGGGTCATAACCTGGGGGGATGGCGCCATCGCCCGCGTCGCTGATGCAAGACGGCCACTTTTACTTTGGTTTCGGCCCTGCCACTTCACCGCTCGGGCCTGTTATTGTTGCGATTCGCACACTCATATGGCTTTTCCAGGCATGAACGGTCCCAGACCGAGAACATGCCAGAAGGGCATTTCGGAGTCGGTCTCGCCGGTTGCGAGTAGAAGCTGCCAGCACGTCAGCACATGACGGCCGATCCTCTACCATGACTTGCAACAAGACTGCTCTTTTACGAGACTGATATTTCGACATGTGGGAAACCCCAACTAACGCAGGGGCATCGCGACTGTCTAATTGCGCGCCGAGCGACGGATGCAGGGTCGATCGCTGAAGACCTGACGCTTCCCAACATTCATTCCATCGTGTGAAGACACCGGTTGCAAAGCATTCCACGTTGGTCAGCATCGAAATGGTGTGCTACTTTTCTTTTGGGCCTCACGTTACACAGCGCCCAGCACCTCTGAATCATCTTTCCCGCGCGTCAGCCAGACCTTTGACATCTCGTATGTCCCCAGGTACAGTCCGCTACCCAGAGCTGTCCAGCTCGCACGCAAAAGTCCGCCGCGGAACAGCCCCCTTGACGCCGTGGCGGCGGTACACGTCCTGCGCGACAGCTATGCTTCCCCGGTTCGTTTTGTTCCACGACGGATTATTGTCATCGCCCGCTGTCAGCATCATTCGCGTCTTGACAACGTCGCTCGGCGTCGTGATCCAGGCTGCAAATCCTCCCGCCGAACCAGCGCTCACGCCATTGACTGCGGCCGTCTCGAGCAGCCCGTGCGAGTCGTGTGCCTGCCCCGGGTGTCGACTGTCCCAGGTTTGCTGTCGCATGTACTCGAAAATGGAAACTGGAGGGCCGTAAACGGCAAGTTGCGCGCAACAAGAGCCGTGTAACCGGAGAACAAACGTCTGCTCGCCCCCGAGCCTGTGACATGCCGCATTGCCTCGAGCGATGTCGACTTGTGTGATCCGCCCGATTGCTGCCGCAGCATTTGCGCATTCTGCTTAATCACCTCGGCAGGCGCCAGCACCACGCACGAAGCCATCTCGGCGATTGCCGAGGCTGATGAGTGAACGAGCGGCTGCGGCGCCACCCGGCACGGCCATCGAGATTGTGCGCTTCATACTCTCATATGTTGCGAAGAAGATGCCGGCTGCGTTGTGTCAGCCCGCGCTGACGGAAAGAAGTAGGGCCAGTCAACGTACCTGCCGGCAGTGTGGCGAGGATGACACTGCCGATGCCCTGGTAAAGGCCGCGATACAGCTGCGGCTTTGGGCTGCCTGGCGAGGATGCATACGTCTTGACAAAGTCCTGGCTTTGGTATCTCGTTTTGAGGGTATCAAGCGGGTAGATCAGGCAGTCCACCGTGAACGCCGCCGCAGCGCCGGCCTAGCACCGTCAGCTGACCTGCAGCGCCGCAATTGCGACTGACTCACCGCATATATCTCATACATGTCGATACTTTTCCTGCGAGTGCCATGGTGAAGGTGCAAAGATGAGTGCTTGAATGACCTGCCTGAGAGTGATCGGCCATGACATCATCGGAATATGCCTGTATGCAGGTGAGCACATGGGAATGCAAATAGAGTGATATATTCCTTTAGAGGGTTACGTACCCATCGTGCCGCTGTCCAAATGACGAGATGAATTTTAAGCCTGGTTATCGTATGTCTTGATCGCAATTGTTTCACACTACTTAGCGATAGTACTTGGTGTAGTTGGGCACGGCGTATCAGGGCATCCAAACGCCCGGTTGCCTGTAGAACGCTCGGAGATGTAGCCCCCTGCGAAGGCGAGGTGGACGTGAGGGAAAGAAACGACTGACGACATGGAAGCCTTACTCTAGGTGGGCACAAGAGACATCGCGCAGGCGAGAAGGTCATAGAGGAATAGAAGCTGGAGGGCAGGACCTTCAGGGTCTGACGTAGTCGTGTGTGGCCTTTAAGCTTCATCTTGATATCTTGCACACCGAAAAGGCCTGGATATTTAATCAATGACGGCGTATATAGCTTGTGTCGAAGTGCTTAATGTCTTTTCAAAGCGTGCAGCGCCGGGACCTTCGACGTCTTTTTGCGCTTCCTGATCTTCTCCTGCGTGAGGTTTCATAACTCGGTGTCCCTGAGACCATCAGACAGCATCTGTGCCTGGACAATGATTCAGAGGGGGCAGTCGATTTGTCTCTCATGTCGGATGTTGGCAAAATGGTACACTAAGGAGCAAATGCCGCCTAATGTGATTGAGACGGCCAAAAAGACAGTAGTCCATCATCACGTGCGTACCTTGTGATGAGTATCATCAGCCCTCTGAAATATGGCATGTGACATCACCGTCCAGGCACAAAGGAGTAATTGGGTTCTGAGTTTGAATCCTACTGTTGAAGTTACACTGGCCTGACGGGAACCCATGTTCCACACCTTTGCCTTTCTAAAGAGATTTAACCTTGTCCTCTCAGTAGCAGGTTGAGCTACATGCCCGACAGGGGCCTGGATGACGGGGACAAATGCGAAAGATTTCAAGAATGAAGGAAAGAGAACGCCTAGAGTTGATTAGGCGCCAATGTTGACTTTTCGAGGCGCACTCTGTTCCGCCGCAGTGTCGAACAAGTTGATGCGGTGCGGGGGTTGCCCTTGAAGTCGTCAGTGATGGATCTTCAAGACAATGCAGCTGCACTTACAGGTGAACGGAATAGCAAAACGTCGCTCCTCCTTGCCGAGCTCGTTGATCGCCTTGACGTCCTCGTCGGTAATATTGATCTCCTGGAAGTTCGACTGGATTCTCTCGGGCGTGACAGATTTGGGAATGGCGCTGTGGCCGCCAACCTGGGCCCATGCCAAGATGACCTGCGCCGGCGTCGCCGACAGCCTCTCGGCAATCCCCTTGATGACGGGGTTCTCGATAGCCATGGGTTCGCCAATGAGGTTGTTGCCGAGGGGCTGCACCAAGTCAGCAGCTGTCCACACAAACAGCGGAAGGTATACTCACAGAATAGGCCGTGATATGAATGCCCTTCTCACCAGCGTACTTAACGATGCCATCCAGCTGGTTCAGCCGGGGATGGCGCTCGACCTGATTGACGGCGGGCGTCACTCCCGTGGCGTCGATCAAAGCCTGGAGGTAAGGGGCAGCGAAGAGGGAGACGCCGACGGGGCGGACCTTGGACTTGGGAAGATCGATCATGGCTATGAGGGTCAGCGGGCTGCTCGGACGACTGCTTAGGGTGCCTGACCTTTCCACGTATCTACAATGGAAACATCGAGATCGAGATCAATCTCACTGCCGTCAGCAGTCACAGGGAACGGGTTGCCATCGGTCTTCTTGAAAGCCACGGGCCAGTGAATCAGGTAGAGCTACGGAAGTCAGTGGTGCGCGCATAGGGATACTGAAGACTACGAACGTCGAGGTACTCCAGCTGGAGCTCGTTCAGGGTATCTTCGAGCGCAGGGGCGACGTTTTCCGGGCGGTGCTCGCTGTGGTTTGTGAGAAGCGATCAGCGCCTCGGCCATCGGGCCAACTCACCTGTTCCACAGCTTGGAGGTGATGAAAATGTCCTCACGCCTCAGCCCCGGCAGCTCAGCGAGAGCCTTCTTGATGGCCTGCCCAACTTCCTTCTGGTTGCCGTAGCTATCGAGATCAGCGCTGCCTTCAATCGTGGTCACTACACGCACATCTTCGCCAGGTCCTGATGTTGCGGTCAGCATTGAAACGAGTCTGCGTACAGATGGATTTACCAGATGACGGTAGCCAGCCTTCAACGCTTCATAGACGCCCGCACCGACAACGCCGGGATCCGAAAGCCACGTGCCGTATCCCAGTGTCCTGAATACATCGCGTCAGTGGTGTTCAGTTGGGATGTACAACGACGTACGGGATGTAGGCGCCAGTATTGAGCTTAGCCTTTGTGCCGAACGACATGATGAAGGTAGTTGATGGAGAGATTGCAGGAAGAGAAGTCAGTCCTAGCACTCAAAATTGGACGTAAGCAACGCTCACTCGGTGGACTTTGATTCTCAACCCTAGCTTTCGTAAAGGGGCTACTGTCGTGAAGCCTCTTGTGGGCGGCTAGTGCGGGGTTGGATGGCGATTCAGCAATCGCTCGCCTCCGGCCGGTAGCGTGACGCCCAAGTCCCACTTCGTGGCCACGGTGCGTGCACTCGGCATTTTTTTGGCACGAAAATCATCAGCAGAGGCTGTAATGGTGTTTACGATTCTGGCTTACATAAAATTATATACCCAATGCTCAGCAGAGTCAGAAGGTTGAAGCTGAAACAAGTGATCTTGTTGATGGCAAATCCTTGTCCCTCAATGCAGTATCAGGTCAGTCCTGAGTTGTTTCGGCCCAGAACGTAGAGAGCCTGAAAAGGAATATCTGAAGGAGGAGGTCGTCTCCAAAAGATCGTGGAGCATGCGTCGTCCGCGTATCTACGCAGGCCCTGTACAGCATCATCGGAACTGCAGGTGACGAACAAGCCATGGTGACTGGCGATCACCAATGAATGGTTCGTTCCTCTCCTGGTCGTCCCTCAGTATGCTCCTCCCAAGTGTGCAGCTTCACAATGGCCGACCGGGCTCCGACATACTCTATTGTATAGTTGAACAGCCTCTTCAACGGGGGCACCTCGAGGTCTTCGACCTCGCCCGTGGCAGAAGTCCCGTTCAACCCTACAAGCTCTCGTCGCAGAAGCTCTTGCTCCCTCGCCATGATGACATTGGCGATGCTGGCGCTCTCCAGGCTGTTGTTTATTCCTTGCTGTCGAGGATACTGCGTCATGAGTTGTACCGCACGGCGTCGTACACTCTGAGGCTTCCCCATGTACGCGACGGCAAACAGGGCAGACTGCATCGTGCCAGACTTGGCAAACGGTGGGTGCTGACGGTGGTCGGGCTTGAGGATGCGCTCTGCGAGGTTGACAATGTACTCGTACTGTCGCGGAAGATCCTCGTCACGTTTGCTCTGGTCGGGCAGCTCGGGATCTCCGACAAATATGAGGCGGGTGGCTGCGAGGGCCAGCGACAAAGTCAGCAGCGCCTTGTAAGGCACGACAGACTGGGCCTCAGGGCTGCGGATGGTTTCTTTGACGAAGAGGTCGTGCGCCTTTCTCACTTGCTTGAAACACCGAACGTAGGGCGCCTCGCGCGCGACGAAGTAGTCAAGATCCCCGTCGCCGATGTTGGGGTCCGTCTTTGACGATTGCCGCACCAGCTGCTGGCGCAGGTAGATGAGTGCGCTGAAGAGTGACTCGATCGCCTGAAGGGCGTGCGTCAAGTTGTCGACGGTCAAGGGTCTAGCCGTCCTCGAGTCCGTGGGCGTCTCCAGCGGTGCCTCGTACAGACGCCACAGATGGAAGATCTTACTCGACGCCACCAGCTCTGGGGCCTGGATCAAGTCTCCGTTGTCTTTGAAATAGACGAAGACCTCGAGATTCAGGAGCAGGTCCTTCAAGGGCGCGAGGTTTATCGGGCTGCTGGACGTCTGCGGAGGGACGGTTGATCCCGTGGCAGTAGCCTTGCGTGGTGCCGGCTGCTGTTCTTCGCACGACTGCAGTTCTTCGAGGAGTTGACGGCCCGACGCGAGGTGCATGCGTGCCTGCGAATGGAGACCCTGGACCTTGCAGACGCAGGTGAAGATGACACTAATTGTCAGGGCCCTCCAAATGTCGGTCCTTTGCGGGGGTCGTTCAGTGAGCGATCGGATCGCGTGGCTAAATTGCTGCAGGGCGAAGATCTTCTGCGGCGGATAGGACCCGACGGTGAAGTCTAGGGCATTCGTTTCGTGAGCCGCGCCGAGACAAACGACGGCGTGCCATATTGCCGGGTCTGCATGGCAAGCACGGGGTAGCTCGGCGAGCCAGAAGTCCACGTCAAAAACGCCAGCCAGCGACGGTCCAGCGACGTCGAGGAAGTAACGGTAGCTGCGAGTCTCTTTGGGGCATCGTTGCGGCAGGGTAGGCCGGAGGACCAGGGCGGTGTGTTGTGGCCGAGGGAAGGTTTCAGAAGCCAGCGCGAGCCTGGGCTCATGGTGGTTTGTGGTACAGAGGCGGACAAGGGGCTGCGATCTTCTTTTGCGTAGCAATCGCACTTCCTGCCCGTAGATACGCATCGTTGGCAATCAGGTTTTCCCTCATCGCAGCG